TATGAATTAAGAATTAATCTGTATTTTTCTATCTTTTTTTAACTGCTCTCTTTCAAAATACTTGTTATCTGATATATCAAGGATTTTAAAATTCACTTTCGGATAAATCTACTAAGATATGAGCCATAATGCTAAATAAAACATTTTCCTCGTATTGAAGATCATAACAGTTAATCAGATTTCTTGAAAATTTTAACAATTTACATATAAGTAATCATCTAAATAAATATTTATAAAATTATTCGAATTTGGTTTTTATAATTTAATCTACTTGACTTAGATTTAATATCACTTCTTTTTTATTATTTGATTACTTTTTCCCAAAATTTGGCTAAATAACTAATTTTCTGAGCATAGTTTTACAATTATCTTTTGCTGTTTTGTATTAAAAAAAACAAAAACTATTAAAAGCAGATATCTGTATCTAAAATTTCTAAAACACATTAAATTGGCCTACTAAGAAGTCTGATGCTTTCAAAAATGATTAATTGAAGCATGATGCTTCTAAATCAACTTTATTTTCATGAGTTAAAACTAATTAAGGATTGACTATTTTGTGATTTGAATACCAATACTTTGACTCCCCTCACCAAGATCAAATGCTCTTCCAGCCTTAATCACTAATTATGGCAACTTTACGATCATAATTTTACTTTTCATTTTGGTATATTTGGACAAAAATTTTTATTTGAATACTCAATCACAAAAAAACCTAATCAAACCAAAAAACATATGATTTATATTAATGTCTTACAAATTAAAGAATATCCCTATAACTTAGAGATGAAAAAAAAGTCTGTAAATTTAGCTCATAAATACCTTATTTAGTAAGAGTTAATTGAATAAAGGAAGATTATATTTAAAAAAAAATACAATTAGAATTATTTCAATATCTTATTAAAAAAAAATATCTATTATTGTAATATTCTCTGCCATCTTCGAATTATTATAATTTTAATCAACCAAGTAATAACAATTATATAGAAATTAGGTTGATGTTCATAATATCTTTAAGAACAGACATCAAGAATAATGTTGGAAAACATTTTAATTTAAGTGAATATAATAACTTTAGATATCATCTTAAATTTAATGTCAAGTAATTAGAGGAGGTACATAAATTTATTGATTGTTCCTATATTCGAAGTTTATGGATAACTATGATATGAAAGCTTAGAAGATGAGTTTCCAAGTAGCAAATTACTTTCCAAATCTCCTTTAGAAAATCTTTTGTAAGGTTTTCTTAATATATCATCAAACCTATAAGTGAAACAATAAAATAGTGGCATCCACCCATATTATTCAAATAGAGTCTATATAGATGTTCACAATTATGTGAGGATATTTAATAGATAAGAAATTTCATAAATATTCTTAGATAGAGATTTCACCTGTTAACTAATTGTCATTCCATTATAGCTTATATGGTATATTAAATATTTTCATGTATTCATAATGAATGGATAATGAATCAGACAATATCCTATACCAGTATCACATCTATGATAATAAAAATAGAGATCATATATAATTAAAAGATTTATTTAATACAATCGTTTAGAGATAAGTGATTATTAGATTCTTAATCGGGATTTGTAAATATGGTCATAGTAATGGTCAATTTCAATTAAAGATGAGATGCTTATTATCTATTTATATAAATTTAATATATCACAATAAATTCTATTAATATAAGTATATTAATTATCAACATAAACATGGAGAAGGCAAAAAGCAACTTAATAGATCCTTTACAGAACTCAAAATTACTAGGAAAATTAGCAATTACCCCAACAGTATTTGATACCTAAACTCCTGAAGGTATTTATTGTTAATAGGATTAAATATTACATATGCTCATCAATATGATTTTAAAACGGCCATTTAAGAAATTTTCAGAGGATTCAATACAGTAAATGAGGATTACAAAGGATTCTAATTTGCAAGTAGTAATTGGAATATTTGATTAGATTAATAATTTATTAATTATACAGATTTAAGAGTATATATGATTTCAATTATGTAAAAAAAAATAACAATTATGATATCAAAGAAATTTTTTGATCACTCATTTAATTAGTTTCAAATAAAAAGAGAGTATGATATTAAAACTCTTTAACTTTCATTTTATTCAAGAAAAAGTTTCTCTTATTTATGGATTAGAGAGTCACATGTTTTGGATTCTTATATTAGTAATTGGTATCTTAATACTCATTTCTTTATTTTTTGAATCAATATGGACAGGGAACAACTAGATTACATTAACTAAGATGGCATATTTTATATTTTTTTAATGAACAATTTTTTAATCGGTTATTTTCTTAAATGTTTCTGTGTATGGACTTTTTATTCTTTTCTACTTATTGTTACCATATTTTATTTACAGTTTGAACTTTTTAGGTAAACAAACAAGATAAATTTGTTCAAGATCTATATTTATAAGTGGAGTCAAATATGTATCAGAAAAGGAAAGTAAAACACTTTTATCAATTCTACTTCAAATGTTTATTATTATTTTATGCATGAGATTTAGCAATCCATTTATGATAGATATTTTTAGAGACTATTATAAGAAATTTTAACTACTTGTCTTGAGTGAACTCACAAACTATAATACTTATTCAATTTGAGTTATCAATTAATGAACTTAAATTATAGATAGTATCATCGAAGAACTAAATTTGCTAAATTACTAAGCCACTTAATTTAAATATCAAGGTTGTAAATAGGTCATAAAAATAAAGATAATTTATGACTAGACCTAAGATTTCGATGATTACTTCATAATCAACTATGAAATATCTTAAACCGTAACAATAACTGATTAGCCAGCTGCTAAGTCCTTGAGTTTGTGGATATTTCTTTTTAAGGAATGATTATATAACAATATAACCAGCAAAGAAAATTGATTATATAAAATATTTTAGCCAATAATAAGCTAATTGTACTTATTTAATTTACTTAACAATCAAGACTCAAATCTTTCCTAATTGATCCCCTTTAATTTATTAAATATTATTTAAAATTGTGCTAATCAAGCTATGTAAATATTAAAAATTATTGATTAATTCTGAAAGGTGAAGTTCAAACTTCATTTTCTCATGACTAAATTGTAATACTATAGAAAAACTTTTTTATATATTATTACTCTTGTAATATTAAAATATAATGTGAAAAATTTTAATAATTAATATTTTTAGCACACTTATTTATTTAACTAATTCTTATGAATAAGTAATTTTGGATCTATTTTCAAATTAATGAAACAATTATTTAGAAATCAATGGATTTATAAATAAAAATAATATATTTAAAAATAATATTCATTACCCAGATTGATTATTTCATAATTTTTTTAATTCAATTTAATCATTAGAAAATGCTAGATGGAGCTAGAATCTATTCGTTATTTTCAAACACTCCAAGTATTAATTACTCTCAATAGATAAATTAAATAGATAATCTTGAGGTCATTAAAAAATTCAAAGCCATCCGAAATATTATCGAATTATTTATCTAAAATAAGCTAAGTCAAAATTGTAATGATCAAAGTATACAAGAGATGCTATTACCATTTTAATTGAATTATATAAAATAAAGAATGAACTTCTAAAAGTAATTATTTACTATTCTCCAATTTATTCTCTGAATGAATAAAAAAGAAATAAAAAAAGGCTAATCGATATCAAAAACATGTAATACTGATCATCTGATAGGTTAGAAACTCATCTACAATTGTCTGCTCCATAGAAATCTAAACGATAATGAACACAACAAAAATTTCCCTTCTTTAAATTGACATTAATCCACATTTTATATAGTATATAAATATTCTAAAAATGGTAATTCACATTTGATACTGGCAATACCGCCAGTATTTAAAATATGCTATGTCAAAAACACATAAATGCCAATTAATGACTATTTAATTAATATCCACCAAAGCTAATCAATGGTTCTGATTCTATTCACAAGTTGAAAATTGATTTACACTTTATGAACATATTTGAGGATCAACAGAAAATAGCCCGACAACAATCTCATAAATATTGTATACTCTGACTTAATGTATAAACAGAAATGCACTCAAAGCAATTATTAGCATTATATTCACACTCTGTACATGGGGCAGTACAAAGCCAGCAGTAAGTTAACCATCAATGTAATATCTGTCAGTACAAGCCCATTAAAAATTGAGTGTTGTTTTATTAGTGTCAATACATGAAATTCAACCAGTTGGGTTGTTAACACTTTCAGAGCACACTGTGAATTACAAAAGTATTTGCCAACATCGCATGATGCCCAAGCACAATAGTATTTTCACAAGAAATCATCACAAATTTTGCAAATAATTCCAATAAGTAAATAGTGATCCACAAAGGTTTAAAATATTGAGTATACAAATTAAAAACAGCTTATTAACTTTTAAATTAAAATATTTTCAATACAGTAAAAAATGAACAGGTAACACAATATAGAGCTATTTATTTTTGTTTCTTTTTCTAATTTATTCATTAAAATCAAGATAAGCTGAACTATATATGCGAGATATGTAAAACTTAGTAAAGCAAGTTGAGCAAAATCTTTACTTAAACATAGGAGGGCTTGACATCCATGTAACTATATTACAAACTTGGCATTCAAGTTAGAACAAGACTTTGTGTTAAAACTACTTAAAAACTTGGTTAACATATATGTCACATGTATTATTTTTATTAGATGAAAAATCCTCACATGAACCTTAACTTCAGATTGACCTAAATTGAGACTTCAAGTTGCTAAAATAGTATAAGTGTCCTTAAATATACAGTTCATCAAAATTAATGTTGACTCAAAACAAGTAGTTGGACATTAAAACAATAAATAATAAATAAATAAATTGATATTTAATAAGAGGCGAATAGATATAATGTATATGCTTTTACAAATTTTTAATGCTTTGCTTTTATTTACTTTTAGTGATAGAAATGAATAATAGCTAATAAAATTTTGACACTTAAAAGTTAATTATTAATATTATCAATTTATTAATCAATAAAAAACTATTCTCTGTAGGATTGGTAAAATATTTAAAAATATCCTTTTAATCTCTGAACTTTAATCTTGCTTAGCTAAATGATTTATAACCCTGAATAATATTATTAAAAATAAATAAGAAATTATACGTCTTAGTAACACTCTTTGTTAAAGAAAATAAAAAATTAAATTAGTTCCAAATCAGAGAATTAATTTTTTCTTATGAATGTTATGAGTAATTACATTTTTGTTATTAATAATTACTTTTCATAATTTTACAGAAATTTGATTAATTATATACTATTATTTTTATTTTCTGAATAAATGAAAGGATAAATTTCACAGTAAGCAAGCTATAATTTTTTACTAATATAAATGTGAATATTTATTCCTAATTTAGTTCAAGTAATTTAAATATCCAATATAAATGCTATTTAAAAATATGGATTTGCTTAATTTTATGTGAATCTATAGATTTCTTACTTTTATTGATACTCACAAACAAAATAACGAAATCAATAATTGTGCCTAAAAAGATCTTTAAAGCTTTGTTGTCTGTAATTTGAAATATCTATGGGTCCTTTCAAATCTTCTTTGGATTATTTTAATGTGCTCAACTAAATATGAGTAAGTCCAATTACCACTTGTCATTTTTATTTAGTATTTATTACTATATCATAAATAAAAATTCTTATTAAGATTGTATTTGAGATAGTGGAAGTTGACTTTTTTTAAACTTAATACAATAGAAAACTGGAAGATAAATATTCTAATGTTATAATTAAAAGTAAAATATTAAAAGTAGACTAGCAGATTTTGATGAAAGAATCTGATCCTTTTTTTATTTTCTCATCATTAATTTGCTAGTCAATGGATTTATAACTGAAACCAATAAATTACAGAATTATTTAAACATTTATATGATTTATTAATTTAAAAATACTGAAGTTTCTTAAAAGTTAAAATTTTTTTTTTCTATTTATCAATAAATTCTAAATTTTTTATTTAAATTAGTTTATTACATTTGTGAAAATAATTTTTAATTTTAAACGTTTTTGTCACAGGGAAACTTGATAATTAAAATTTATATTCAAAACTTATAATTAGAATCTATTCTTGAAACAATATGTCTAACAAAAAAGCCTAACATCAATTCAGAAAATTGGTCATATATTGTTAAATTTGATTTGTAACTTTTTTTTATTGGAATAAATTTAAATTGAATGGTGAAATATAATGATATCATATATTTAAGAAAAATATAAACATCTCAAAAATTAAAAGGAATGTTAAGTTAAAAAGATCAGTTCATTATTCTCAGTATGTTCATAATAATAATACATATCCCGTTTGCCTACTTCTACACAATTTTGGCATTCCCCATGGCAAGGATTTCAACTCTCTCTAAAATAACAAATAATATGCAATACCTCCAAAACCCATCAATCAACTCTATCCTTATTCAATAAATCTTAAGCAACTTGGCCTTCTGATTTGTCATTCTAATTTCCTTCACCACAAAAAAGGGCAAAAGAAATAAATCCTGAAATAATTTCATTATTTCAAAAGGTTTATTATTCCTAATTCTTTTTAATTTTTTCCTATATACTTTACAAGCAAATAATCTACAACCACTGAATTAAAATAAATTTCTTACTTACATTAATTTTGTTTATTTCTAACCATTCCTCTTATGAAAAGCATTCCATATGTCATTTTTACCAACTTTGTATTCACTAGCTTAAAAAGTATTGGCGTAAAATTAATGAAGATTTTTAAATAGAGAAGGGGAAAATTTAAGTTTATCTACTGAATTGCACTATTAGGTTCTTAGAGGTGGCGGATTTAATGAAGAATAATGATCTAAATATGGTTAATAGATTGAGTTGAAGGATAACTTTTGGAAGTAAAATAGATTTATTAATATCTCGTCATACCTCATAGATTTGGTCTTCACTATACATGACAATTAATAGCCTTTATTTTTTCCATCAATAATTTTTGGTTAAGTATTTCCTTATACTTAGCTCAATCCATACTTAGAGTATTAAAAATTTTCGTATTTCAATTATAATTTCCACCAATATCTAAAATTATTTAATTATTTCATGAAGCTGTTCACTTGTCTATTTTTTTTAAAAAGATTTATAAACCACCCAAGATAGTAAATCTATGGTAAAAGAGTCAAGATTTGAGGTTTTAGAAAGAGTTGATTACTTATTCACTAAATATGAGGAATAAAATTAAGTCCTTAGAATCCATCTATCTTGATAACACTTAATTTTCTTTAATTTTGTAGATGCAATTTCCTATTTTGATCTTTTTAAATCTTTTGTTATTCAAATCCAAAAAATGCTTTTAATGTTCTTAGATGAAATCTTACCATTCATATTTGTTAATTGTTGATTTTTTTAATGTTAGTTATAAATTATTTGACTAAGAAAATTGACTAAATTAATTTAAAGACTGTTAAGAATTATTTTACTCACTTTATTAAAACCTTCTTTATTTCTATTTAGTATAGATTTATTTACACCTATTCCAATACATTAACTTCTTTAATTTTATAATGATTATCATTTAAATATTCGATAAACATATTTTATTTTTTTTCTTTTTTGAAATAAATGTAGTACAAATAGTTTTTTATTTGACTTTGGAAGGTTGTCTCATTACAGTTCTTCAGGAATTAATACTGTATTCTTTGTACCTAAGAATAATGCTACTATGATGTACATTATATGAAGACAATTAATGGATATATTAATGATTATGAAAGCTTTGAAGTTAAATATAAGATCCCATAAAATAGATGTTTCATTATTAAAAAAAAATAAAATAAAATTTAGGTTTATCTTCTTAGAAATAAAATAAATTATGGAAAAATCAATTGATCAAGTACTTAGGCTATACAAATAATCAAAGATAATCAACATTAAAGTAAAATTATATGGANATTTCAATTATAATTTCCACCAATATCTAAAATTATTTAATTATTTCATGAAGCTGTTCACTTGTCTATTTTTTTTAAAAAGATTTATAAACCACCCAAGATAGTAAATCTATGGTAAAAGAGTCAAGATTTGAGGTTTTAGAAAGAGTTGATTACTTATTCACTAAATATGAGGAATAAAATTAAGTCCTTAGAATCCATCTATCTTGATAACACTTAATTTTCTTTAATTTTGTAGATGCAATTTCCTATTTTGATCTTTTTAAATCTTTTGTTATTCAAATCCAAAAAATGCTTTTAATGTTCTTAGATGAAATCTTACCATTCATATTTGTTAATTGTTGATTTTTTTAATGTTAGTTATAAATTATTTGACTAAGAAAATTGACTAAATTAATTTAAAGACTGTTAAGAATTATTTTACTCACTTTATTAAAACCTTCTTTATTTCTATTTAGTATAGATTTATTTACACCTATTCCAATACATTAACTTCTTTAATTTTATAATGATTATCATTTAAATATTCGATAAACATATTTTATTTTTTTTCTTTTTTGAAATAAATGTAGTATAAAGGAATTGTTTAAGAATAATAATAATGAATTCTATCGAAAAATTACTGGACTTTTGGAGTCAATGTGTATAAAAAAAAGAAAATATAACAGATTTTGAAAAATAGATTATACCAGACACTTGGGCCAATCGAAAATTCAACAATTAAAATTGAAGAAAATGATAAATATGCCATTTTAATGAAACAAGATTATATAGTACTTATAATTTATGAATATGATTTCTTTTCAAAATGAATATTATAATTAATTTCGATCTTTTGGATTTATGCTGCTTTACTTAATTAAAATAATATAATATAAATATGGAATATATTTATAAACACTTTGATTAGTTTTATACTCATTTCAACTCTCATTGGTTTGATTCTATTTTTTAGGGGGTGGTTCGAATTCATCAAAAAAAATATTGTGTTTAATTAAACAATACAAATAGTTTTTTATTTGACTTTGGAAGGTTGTCTCATTACAGTTCTTCAGGAATTAATACTGTATTCTTTGTACCTAAGAATAATGCTACTATGATGTACATTATATGAAGACAATTAATGGATATATTAATGATTATGAAAGCTTTGAAGTTAAATATAAGATCCCATAAAATAGATGTTTCATTATTAAAAAAAAATAAAATAAAATTTAGGTTTATCTTCTTAGAAATAAAATAAATTATGGAAAAATCAATTGATCAAGTACTTAGGCTATACAAATAATCAAAGATAATCAACATTAAAGTAAAATTATATGGAATAATTATAATGAACTCTTGATATTTCTTTCAAATATGCTTAAATCCTCTCTAAATTACTTCACATAAAAACTTTATTGACTATAAAGTGTATTACAATAAATCATATATTAATTTTTATAGAAATTAAAAATATATGATAATCTTTATGCTGGCTACTTTAATTTTATTTTTGCAATTCAATTCTTTATAGCCATAGTTTTAATTCTATTAAAAACTATCAACTTGATTCATTTAATGATTCAAAGTATATTGGAATAATCTCGTACTTTAAATTATTTATTTTAGCGATATTTTTACATTAAGATTATCGATAGGGATCCCTATTATTTTCAATTGATCATGGAACAATTGAACATAGCGAAGTCTTTGTTTAATATTTGATTTATTGCTTATGAGTATTATTTTTAATACTTTAATTTTCCTTAAGACTTATGACTATTCAATTTAATAAAAAATCCATATAATCCTATTTTAATCAGAATGTCTTTATCATGATCTTGGTCTTGATGAATCATATTAATCCTTAATAATCAAGAAAAAATTAATAGCAATCTCTAAAATTGTTAATCTTAAGCATTCCCTTTGTTTATATCCATGCAAAAGACTAAGTTTATTTCTTAATTGCTACTTTACGATGTTATAATATTTGGGTTTTATTAAAAAAACACTTTTTTTATTCTTTTCTTTACCATTCTTTAGATCTGATAATATTTTTCTAATTGATTTAAATAGAGGGCTAAATTTGATTTTTATAATTTTAACATATTGGAAATAATTTTACTTATTGTTAGATGGATAATATTAAGTGCAATCGATATCATAAAAAATAAAATTGAATAATGATGAGGAAAGAATAAGTTATTTAATTTTTGAAGGAATGCAAAATTCAGATTCAGAAAAATAGAAATCCTGCAAAATATAAGTTTACTAATAGTTTATGATAATTATCTATATATTACACAAATAAAGTAAAAAGTTTCACGTAAGATTAATAAGTTTATAATAAATCAATATTATAAGCTGCTTTTATGCAAATATTTGGAACATCTCAATTATAAATCAGTTTATTTTAAATGACACCTAGCTAGATCTTCAAATTGATTTTAAAATTGATTGTCATTGATATACTCATCCAACAGATTTGAATGAGATAGTATTATAATAGATTTATGTAATACGATTTAATAAAATATATGCAAAGATTATCGATGAAAATGGATAGTATATTTATGGCTGCTATACAATTTATGAAAGAAGTTGATAGATGATATTATATATTATTTCCCAAATCCATTATCTATGAGATTATAATTATTCCTTCTATCTAATGCTTTAAGAATAATTAAATTAATGATTTCTATTCCAACATTCACTATTTCAATAAAAATTTGGTCTATCAAATCTAATTTGGTGGTTCTAATATTTTCACATATATTAATTAGTAATATCATCTTGTTCACATGATATTTTTTGAGTAGAATCAAACTTGTGATTATAGAATATAACAAAATCTAATCAAGTAATTGTATATTACTTAATAGAAGTATGCCTAGGAAATATTATAAATTAAATATTCAAAGGAAAACTATTTCCAATTTTCTTTCTTCATCATTATATTATGTCCTTTATTCTTGGAACATGAATAAAGTGAATGCTTTTAAAATCATGAAAGAATTCTGTAGATGTTCAAACCTATTTGGTTATGAAGTACAAAAGAAGAATTGAATGAAAAATATCCAGAAATTATTTCAAATATTATTTGGCAAGCATTATATAAGTTTCTCTCTCCATAATTAATAATAAAAATTAATTCTCATGTTCTAATCCAATATGTGAATAAATATTTTTATTATACATTCAATTTAATTACTACATAGTAATATTGAAATAAATAGAACTAATTTTAAATATAGAGGTCTGTTTGGATTTCAACACCAACTATTGTACTCATAGTTAGATTTCGTTTCTATGGCATAAACTTGCACAATTACTCTATTAATGAATAATAATATCATTCTCTGTCAAGTAAATATAATAGGATTAATTTTACTGACTTAAGATATGAAAGAATTAAAATTTAATATATAAAATAATCAAAATTGGAATATCTAATTTATGAAGCAAAAATTCAGAATTTAGACAGGTTGTGATTAGTATGCATTACATTTATGCGAACTTCTCAAATGAAAAGTGATAAATTCTAATTTTTTATCATTTACAATAAAAATATGATTTCAATTTGAAATAAAATTGAATTGGAACTAAACTAAATTTAGGTTAAGGGATTAATTTCATAATTTCATTTGATTTAACAATATTTAAAGTTTTCAAAAAATTTATTCATATTCAAATCATAAGACTAAATATAGTTTCCTACTCTCAAACAACATAATAATGTATGATTATCTTAAGAAATACGTAAAATTGTAACTGAATGATCGAAAAATTGATTTTTAAAAAAATTGTTTTAGATCCCTTTTTAATGAATATCGTCTTTGGTTAGTTTTATATATACAGTCAATTAATTATAATTAAATGTTAATGTAAGTTATATTCACTTATAATCGATAATACTCGATTTTCAGTTAATAAATATAAAATAATTAACAAGCATTATCTGTTGAAAACACTAAAATAAAAACTTAAGTAGGAGAAACTTAACACTAATAAAAATCTTCATCAGATACTATCTAACCTTTTGAAAATTAATTTTAATTATATGGATCATATACTCTAATTGTTTCATCCTTCCAAAAGTACCAATTAATGCAAAATTTAAATTTAAGTAAGTGAATAAACTTCTACTTTTTGAAATTATTCAACTTTCT